GGGTTTGGTGGAAATAAATTTAATATATTGGAAATAAATTGGGGTTTGGTGGAAATAAAGTCGGGTTTGGTGGAAATAAATTCGGGATCCCCGTCCCGGTTCCCTCCCCGGTTCGGGATTCGGGTCCCTGCAATTCCCGGGGTGCAATTGGGGCACCCCTTAAAAAAAAACAAGAAAACCCCCCAAAAAAACCCCCAAAAAACCCCAAAAAAAACCCAAAAAAACCCAAAAAACCCAAAAAACCCCCAAAAATCCCAATATTCCCTCCAAAAAAACCATCCCCGAACCAACGCGGTTCGCGTTTAGCGGATTCTGCTTTGGGGTGGAGCAGGGACACCCCTCAAAAAAACCTCCCAAAACCCCCAAAAATCCCAAATTCTTTGTCCAATTCACATTTAGGGGATTCCGCCGGTTCTGCTTTGGGGTAGAACCGAAATATCCCTAAAAAAACCCCAAACCCCCCCAAAAAAATCCCCAAAAATCTCAAATCCTTTGCCCAGCTCGCATTTAGGGGATTCCGGGGGCTCTGCTTTGGGGTAGAACCGAAATATCCCTAAAAAAAAATCCCCAAACCCCCCCAAAAATCCCAAATTCTTTGTCCGGTTCACATTTAGGGGATTCCTCTGGCTCTGCTTTGGGGTGGAACCGAAATACCCCTAAAAAAAACCGCAAAAAACCCTAAAAAACCAAAAAAAAAAAAAAACCCAAAACCTTTGTCGGGCTCGCATTTAGCGGGTTCTGCCGGCTCTGTTTGGGATGGAACCGAAATATCCCTAAAAAAAATCCCAAAAAAATCCCAAAATCTTTGTCCAATTCTCATTTAGCAGACTCTGCTGGCTCTGCTTTTGGGTGGAACCGAAATACCCCTAAAAAAAACCCCCAAAACCCAAAAAAATCCCCAAAAAATCCCAAATCCTTTTTCCCAGCTCGCATTTAGCGGATTCTGCCGGCACTGTTTGGGGTGGAACCGAAATACCCCTAAAAAAAAACCCAAAACCCCAAATTAAATCCCAAATTCTTTGTCCGGTTCACATTTAGGGGATTCCTCTGGCTCTGCTTTGGGGTGGAACCGAAATACCCCTAAAAAAAAACCAAAAAAGCCCCAAAAAACCCCCCCAAAAAATCCCCAAATCTTTGTCGGGCTCGCATTTAGCGGATTCTGCTGGCACTGTTTGGGATGGAACTGAAATATCCCTAAAAAAAACCCCAAAAACCCCTAAAAACTCCCCAGAATTTTGTCCAATTCGCATCTAGCGGATTCCGCTGGCTCTGCTTTGGGTTAGAACCGGGAAACCCCTCCGAAAAATCCCAAAAAAATCCCAAAAATTCCCCAAAACCTTTTTCCAACTCGCATTTAGCGGATTCCGCTGGCTCTGCTTTGGGGTGGAACCGAAACACCCCTAAAAAAAAACCCCAAAAAACCCCAAATTTTTCTCCAACTCGCTTTAGAGGATTCTGGGAGCTCAGCTTTGGGGTGTAACTGAAATATCCCTCAAATAAAACCCAAAAAAGCCCCTAAAAAATCCCCAAAACCTTTCTCCAACTGTTTAGAGGATTCTG